TCTGCCAGCAAAAACAGACCTCAGGAGGGCTGCACATGGAGCTCCATTTTCGCTGGCAGAGGGTTGCAGGAGGCTGTTGCAGCTAAAAACAGCTCGGTAACCCATTTTTGCTTGCAAAGCGCTGGGCCCCCACAGTGGATTTTGAGCTGCTCATGGCCCCCCTGGCCATGCCCCCCCCCCCCGTTCCCCCAAGGTCAAACACAACCCTGATGCGGCCCTCAATAAAATCGAGTTTGACACCCCTGGGCTAGACTGAGGTCCAAAAAAGGAATAGAACACATTTCCCTATTTCTAGTTCCATCTATTCTGTTCCAGGCTTCAAATACTTACACAATGGTCAAATCAGCACTGGGCTATTTCTAGAAGAGCTGGCACAATCTCCTCTGCAGTCACGTTTCTTTCGAGTTTGAAATCTTAAATTCTCCTGGTTCTTTCCTAGATTAATTCTGACTTTTCCTCCTCTTTTTTACTTCCACAGCAACCAAAGAACTTGTTAGCTGGATGAGAGGACACGACTCTTCGGTGTCTTCCATCTCAGTTCACGGCTCTGGCAGATACGCCATCACGTGCTCTACAGATACAGCCCAGCTTTGGGATCTGGACACGTTCCAGCGCAAAAGGAAGCTGAACGTCCGCCATTCCGTGGGGATCCAGAAGGTGAATGTTGGAAATAGTCCTCCATTGCCAGATTAATCTTCTGTTCTCCTGAAATCTGTGTCCGTTTTCCATTTTTGTCAGGTCCCAGTGGGGATCAGAGTACAGATAGTCTTCCCCTTAACAACAGTTCATTTCGTTCACAAGGGCACTGAAACAAAAGGAACTTATGACCATTTTTCACACTTATGACTGTTGCAACATCCCCATGGTCACATTATCAAAATTCAGATGCTTGGCAACTGATTTGCTACTGATAACCTTTGCTGGGTCCCAGGATCCTGGGATCTCCTTTTATGACCTGAGAAGCAAAGTCAATGGGGAGAGCTGGATTCACTTAGGAACCGGGCAGTGGTGGGTTGCAGGCGGTACAGGCGTACCAGAGCCAGCCCAGAGCACTGGATACCGTTCCAGTACAGTGCTCCAGAAGGCCCACCTGCCCAAGCTCCTTACCTGTGTTTTAAAGCTGCTGTGCTGCCGCGCACACGCATGGCACGTACAGCGCCTGCGCGATGCTCCGCAGAGCAGCTGGAGCATCACGGAGACGCTAAGACGCATGCGCGCATCCATGAGGACGCCGCCAGCGTGTTCCAACCATACTGGTTAGAACGAGATTTGAAACCCACCACTGGAACCGGGTTACTAACTTATCAGTTACAGTGATTTACTTAACCTCCGTGGCAAGAAAAGTCATAAAATGGGGGCAAAACTCAGGAAATGTTTCACTTAACAACAGAAATGTTGGGTTTGATTGTGGCAGTAAGTCGAGGACTACCAGTATTTTGCTCTGAAGAGAGAAAGCTGCTCATTTTCAAACATCTTCTCCATGTGCTTGTTTTCCCTGCGCTTTCAGGTGTTCTTTCTCCCTCTAAGTAACACCATTCTCAGCTGCTTCAGAGATAACTCGATCTTTGCGTGGGAATTTGATACTCTTCATTGCAAGTACCAGCTACCATCACCCATCGACGGGTCTTCGTTGCACTACAAGGTCTTCGCCATTACCCGGTAGGCATGGTCTTCATCAGTGACGTGCAGTGAGGTTTATGGCTGGTGAGGCACTGACACAGGGGTTTCAAATTTTTTTAGA